GAGGGCACCCTTGACGAACGCCCCTAGCTACGAACGACCTACTCAGCTCGCAGTAGACCTTAACGCTACCAGAAGTATGTGAGTAGAGGGAACTCAATATGTTCACATACTTCTGCGGCATTCCATTGTGAAGAAGCGAACCCACAAGCGATTCGCAGTCAACTGANNGTATGGCGTAGATCGAGAACTGAACACAAAGTGACGATTTGATCGACACATCTGCGGCCTGGTCGAAATCCTGCTTGTTGTTCGCGGATGTTTGTTTACCTAGACAGTGTCAGACGTCGCAGTATGATGCAGGCTAGTAACTCGTTGACGATTGGGATCACGCTTATTCCACGGTGGTTCACGGAGTCGTTGCAAGATCTCTTCTTAAAAATAGGAACAATCAATGGTTTGCTGCAGGATGATGGAATGCGCTCATGTGACTAGATGTTACGCATTAGATCACTAATGGAGTCTACGAGGTCATCGCCCCCCAGCTTGAAAACAGTGGGGGGGGGGAAGCCCCGTCCAGTCCTGCTGCTTTTCCTTTCTTCAGGGCTTGGATGAATGATCGAACTTCTGCTGCAGTAAGAGGTTCGGATGACACTTCCCATGGAGCCTCAGCTACATCGGAGGAGATGGCCTGGTTAGCACCTGGCCAGCTGAACTGTTCGTTGAAGTACTTCGCCTACCGGTGAAGCCGTTGTTCCATATTGTGAATTCCTGGTCCACTTTTGTCGCAGATTGTTTAGGTAACTGTGGTTCTCCGACCTCCAGTGTTGCGTATCAGTTGGAACAGTCTTTAACTGTTCCCTGATGCAGCTGCAACTTCCATTTCACCAGCTATCGTTACCCGCCAGTTCGCACGATCTTTTCGTTGAGGCTTTTCTTGAGTTGTTTTTGCAGACGCCACCTACCCCAGCCTTGATCCCGAACCGTGGGGATTTACCACTTCTTCTCCTTCCGTGCTACTGAATCATCAGATATACAATGCCTAAGGCGACCTACCGCTTCAGACTCACAAGCACCTGTCGCAGCGGATCGCATTGCTCATCTAACCTGATCCCATTGTTCATCTACACTACCACCCCGCAGTGCGTTTAGCTCTTACCCAGTGAGTTGGAGAGTGAAGTGCATCAACACTAATGCATGATCAGATTCAACGCAGGTGGTGCAATAGGATCTGCAGTTTTGTACTGAGCCAAGCCAACGGTAGCTTACTGCTATGTGGTCAATTTGAGTTAGCGTACCAGTTGAATCGAAGCGCCACGTTGCTGTCCTTTGAGAGCTGTGATGGAAGTTGGTGCTGGATAGGAACAGATGATGAACTCCGCAGAACTGAAGACGTCAATCGCCCTTGTCTGTTCGCTGGCAGCGCAGAGCACAATAACCATCTAGGCAAGCCTCCGATGCGCTCGTTTTACCAACTTGAGCGTTAAAATCACTTGTGAGTACAACTGTATTGGAGCTTTGATTCAACAGAAGGAGATCGGTGAGTTTGTCATGAAACTCGTCCTTTTGTGCGTCAGAACTGCAATTCGTTGGAGTATATACTGAAAAGATGAACAGACACCTTTTGATGTTGCTTCCCTTTCGGACGCTGATCGACCCTTGAAGCCTCACCGTACATAAACGACTATAAACGGGAATTCAGTTGAGTAGTGTAGCTTCGGCTCTGTTATTGAGTACAATGCCCACGCCACGCTGGCCTACTGAACGGGCTTCGCCATTACTTGACTTGCGGAGGAAGAACCTCGAAGACAACCCCGGTGCAATTAAGTGGTTTAAAGTACTAGAATCCTGAATTCGTGTCTCTGATACGCAACAAACATCAATCCCCATAGTGTCTGTTATACGTGCCAGACACGCTCGTTGACCTATCTTCAATAAAGTCCTCACATTGAAGGCACCAGATTCAGTGGCTGATGAGTCTTCAGACCAAGCAATTTATTTTGTGGTCAACTACTTACCGGGCTATTTGGCGACGAACTTTGGCGAGTGACGAACAAGTTTTCTGAGGGAATGTTACGCGTTAGAAGAATTGGTAAAGGGAGAGGGTTGGGAACGGAAGATAAAGAGTTAAACAAAGGTTGAGATATCTGAGCAGTAGCCCACTTATCACTACCCACCACGTTGGATGCAATGGGCAGCCCGGTCCTGATTATCCTACGCGACGACCGAGGCAGTGTGGAATTATCTTTTGTTTGTGCATGCATTAGAGTTTGACGGACGGGTACTGCTAGGGTGTTTAGCCACTAAGCAGGAGAAAGATTAGGGTTCTCGTCCAAAGCCTTTAGTTCTAATAAGAACATGACCGGACGGCAGCGGGTGAGGTAAAGCAGAAGCCGATTTACTTGGATCAATTACTTCTCTACCGACTGAGACGCTAACTCGAGTCAAACCCCCAACTTGGAGGACCAAGCGACTAAACTTTGTCTGACCTCTACACTCTATCTCTTCCAGGCATGATTAGATCTGCGGCTTGATAAAATCCGTCCTGTGTAGCTCGTTGGGTCAGAGAGATACACAAGCCATCACACCACGTCAAAGTACATTCTCGTCGTGATGGAAATAAAACATAGAAAGAGAAGGTTGCATTACCCATTTAGGTGTTTATTAAAACGTCTTCCAACTCTGTGCTGGCACTTCTCATCTAACGAACCCCATTTATAATCCCATTTAATTATGACTGTAAAATTCTCACTGTCTACAAGCTTCATTCGAACAACGGTGGAACCAGTGAAAAGGTTTAGGTATTTTTCTTGAACAGATCGCACTAGCACAATCATGAGTGTCACTGGGTTCGCATCATGATAGTTATATAGTTATCAATCAATATGAGTGTGCACTTTGATGTTGAATTCCACTTGGGAGAGTAAAGAAGTGAAACAAAACTTTTTCATTCTTTGATAGGTACATAACATTGCACTGTACATCACCTATTAACAACCGCATCCAGAAGCGTAAAGTTGCTACTGAGATGGAGCGTTTCAACCTTATACACATACCATGGCTTGCACCAATACAAATATATTGCAAATTGGTCTATCCTGACGCTCATCATACCAGAACCCTTGAGAGCAGTTTTAGCTGTCGATTGAACACGTTCAGTTAGGTTAGGGTTAACAGAGAGTTTATCGGGTGTCCGTTTGTCGCTATCACGCCAAATGATTGATTGCGGCTGAAGAGAATATTTGAACAAACATGAGTCGGCTATAACAGTCAGGCCTGCAGCTTAGCTGATTTACGTAGTGGTAACATGCATACACACAGTTCTTCCATAAGACGGTCCCGTGGCTGAAATCCCGAACGGAGCTGTGGTCATCATTGATAACCACCACTGATAACAATAGTGAAGTGTCAGCCCAAAGTGCTTCTTGTTCTTGTGGGTAACTCGATAACTTGAGACTAATCTGTGGGGGTGGTGAACTAAAAGGGCAGTCAATAAAACACTCAATGAGACCTTTCTCAAAAGTATTTAAACCAAACGAGATTGTTGTCATGATTATTTTATAAATATTACGATAATGGCATTGAAAGAAAGAAGTCCACTAAAGGGAAGAAGTTTTGTTTTCCGCATCTTGCATTATGCGTTTTGATGAATTTCTAACTTTAAAATCGGCCAGGTCTCTGTCATGTGATAATGACCATATTTAGGGGTCATATTAGACACATTATTAACGAACTAGGAAACTGTGACGGACAGCGCAGTTAAGACACACAGTGATCAAGCGGTGTTGGTACATGGATTCGGAAGATA